TGAGAGCAGTTTATTCACATTCAGCAACTATAGTTTAACAATATTATATGTGATATGTTCAAAATGAAATCAATAGAATTTAACATTCCATTTTCTCATCAACAAATCAATGCAATTTTTTTGTCTGTTTTTTTTTTTTTTTTTTTTTTTTTTGCTGTATTTAAGGTGCTTACCTTTTTGATTATCTTTTGTTTTGTTTCTTTCTTTGCACAAATTGAAACGAAATGTCTGGAAATCTTAGTTACACACACACACACACACACGTCAGTACTTGTTCATTGGTCCAGGCTTCTAACAAATGACTTGCTTAAAGCATATTGTGTAGTACGTCACAATCACGCCAGGCTCTCCTTCACTCACACTCACCTGAACATTCATCCTCTCTGGCATGCAATCACATATGTGTGTGCAAAAGACTCAAAATTAGCAAAGTCTATTGTCACCCTCAACAATTAATCTTATTAAACCTGGTTATTGATTGTGTTCTTGCCAAAACCTCGTAATAAACACCTTGTTTGAACTTTTATCTTGTTTCCTGGTCATTTTAGAGTGTGTGACAACGTAACATGCCATAGGACTTCTGAAATGTGCTTATAATAATCTTTTATGCACACTCCATGTGATTAAATTCATATTAGCCTGAAGCTCATTTGAATAAATATTAATTTTAAAACGACTAAAGGACTTTCAATAACCAGCACTGAATATTCTTTATACAATGAAATTGATTATGCGGTTACTAAAACCTCCACAATTATTTTGAACTGCACAAGAAACTCAAATATTAATGTACAGTGATAAATGCCAAGCAAATACATCATATGACAAGCAGCAAAAGTCAAGCATATTATGCAAGTAGTGATATAATGTTATAGCTAAATACCTCATTTACATTTTTTCCCTCCCAATATTCTCACGATAAACGCCTGATATATCAAATATCAACAAAATACACATATGCACTGTAAAAAAGTACGATCGTTTAAAGTACAATCAACTTGTAAGTCATTTCAACTTAAATCACATTAATAAAAATGACTTGAATCTTCACTGTAAAAAATTTGGAGTAGGATTTACTTGAAAAAACCTTGCTAAATGATCTCACTCAGAAAATGCTAGTAAATTTACAAAGATTTGCCAAGTAAAAACCTAAACATATTTATCAGTAGCTTTAATTAGAAATCTTTAAGTTAAATTTACTTGGAACGTGGAATTAAGTAAACTTTACAAAAAATAAGTAATTTTAACTCGGCTTGTAAAAGGTTGATTAATACCGATTTCCTTTGCCTTTGTATTACACTTCACTAAAACAATAACCTTGAATTTTATTAGTCATTTATAGTATGTTCTTTACTAAGATCATCTAAGTAATTTATATATACATCATGTCAGACTTTAAGCCTTATGTGAATGCAAACACCTCAATACTTGGTAGACAATACACAATGGTGGTAACATTTGATGGATCGTTTTTGTGTTTGAATGTGTCGTTTTAAGCAAAAAATTTACTCGAAATGTCACAAAATGACAATTTACTAATACTGAAAACAAAAATCAATGATAAAACAGTGTAAATACAGCTGGAAACCAGTGAAAAATGAACCTCATTAATTATTCAAGGTCCAGTGCATGATGGGAACCCCAGTATCAGAAAGGTTGAGTAATTTTTACTTAATTTTATTGAGTTGATATTACACATTCATTTATACTCGCTTGAAATAAGTACTGATATGGAATTTACTTAGTTTTTTAAATTCTGGCCGGAACTAACTTTTTCAAGTAAATTACATTGGGTTTTTTCACTAGTACCAAAAAATCATTTTTTACAGTGTTGAATAACTTACAATAGTGTGATGAGATAAAGCAGTAATTGTCATAATTGACCATGCCGTATTTTTACAGTGTGCAAACTTTTATTTTATTTTATATTTTCAACAACCGCATTAAAAAAATGAAAAAATAAAGATTTTTTCTGACTATTATTTCACATGTCGGGCTTTACACGGCTAAAGTAACAAACTCGGTTCAGGAGCGTGCGTGCAACTCGAGCGCCTGCCGACTGCACACTTTCTCAAAACGTGTTCTAGCTTCACTAACGCAAGGTGATATTTTGAATATGTGTCTAATTATAGTGCGAAGAGCGTGTGGAAGATGAAGTCCACATGCTCATGACCCCTCACCCCTGCTGAGCGTTCACATAATGCAGTCCTGACATTTCTGTCCAGTGCAAAACAATACACACATGCTCTAAAGTTCAAGAGGAGCGTAGCGTGTTCATCCAGACCTGTCAATCATAACTCAAGAGTAAACACATGAACATTACGCGTCCAATTTATTAATAGGCCTAATTCATGCAGTCCATGAGAACACACACTTCTTGTGTTCTTGCGCTCTCCATGAGAAATAACGGGAAATTAATGCATTATGTATTAAACTGTTTTCAATCAAAATTTGTTGTGATTATATTAAAAATGCATGATTAAAATCGACAAAATTTCCTTCTGTGATCTTGGATTACAGTTCATCACGGTGCATTCTGGGATTGTGTTAACCATAACGGATCGATAGGCTACATAATATTTTTTATTAGCCTAAATAAGCCAAGAACTAGACAAAATGCACAAGATCTGATTGTGTTTTACAAAAGCCTGATGCTGGACTATAAAATAACCTCTATTTTCTCGAGATGTTTCATATTTCCACACTCCGTTTTGTTGCTGAAAAACTTTTTTTGTGATACAGATATTTGAAAAATGATCAGCATGTCTGTTCTACTGAGAAGATGCACAGAGTTCACGGGATTGATGAAACCAGGACAGAACAGCAATAAATCACTCGTGAGTCTGGAGACAAGTGAAGGGTAGAGAGAGAGAGAGAGAGAGAGAGAGAGAGAGAGAGAGAGAGAGAGAGAGAGAGAGAGAGAGAGAGAGAGAGAGAGAGAGAGAGAAGCTTTGAACAATGTCATGTTCTCTATGCCATGGTGTGTGTGTCTCTGTTGGTGATTGGTCGGACGGAGGGGTGTTGGTGTGACCGGTACAAAACAAAGGATCTTTATTATTGGAAATAAGGTCATTTAACATCCATAGAACCTTATAAAGTTCTTTAAAGGTCCTTCAAAATTTTTAAAATGTTCTTACGTAGTATTATAAATTATTTATCTGTGCACATCATTATTGTTTTTGTTAAATGAATGTGCCTTGTAATCCTAACCAAAGAGAGTCTCAAAAACACGGTTTGAAATTGCTGGAGTTTCTGACGTCACAAACGACCTTGTAACCAATCAGATCACACGATCGTCAACCGAGTGGATGCGGGGCTCATTTGCATATCTATAGAACTGCGTATACTAAATGAGGCGAGGGTGTGGAGTTACAGCATCGCTGTCTGTAAAAAAACCCTTTAGCTTAAATAATATTTAAAATTTCAAATGTAATGTTTTCGAAAATGTGTTAGTGAACTAAAAACTCTAATGAAAAAAAAATAACAGAAAAAGTAAAATTAATGAAAAAATAATTATTATCATATTTTATAGGCCCATTTAAAGGTACATTGTGTGATTTTTACCCCCATCTAGCGGTGAAAAGATATATAACCATCCAGTGAATATTAGTTTCTGTTCCTCTCAATTCCGATTTCGTTTTAACTCCTAAGGTGGCCAATTTAGTCCAAGATTAACATGGCTTCCAGTTCGACGTCGTCCATGAGTATTAACTCAAACGTAAACCGCGAAAGGCGAAGCTTTAATTAACGGGTATGTTCCTCTTTGGCTAATGTACTTTCAAGATGGAGGGCCAACATGGCGACCGACATTAGAACCCCTTACCCGTAGCCTATGTATTTTCAATGGCATATTATACACACACGAGAATACTTTATTACTTGAACGAAGTAAATATACATTAATGAGCACATATATTTTTGAAAGAACTAAGTGTTTTTTAGCTAAGAATAAACTAAAAGAGTTACACAGTCAGTGTAGCTTTAAAGTCTGAGAATGTGAAGGTAGTGAAAGATCTGTAAAATTGAGGATAAAAAGCTCACAGGAGTGACTGTCTGTGTTGCATCTGATTGAAACGCATTGCAACAGAATCTGGAGAACTTTCTTCAACTGTCATGGGCAGTTCATCGCATTGTTCACGGACACTTTTTAAGGCGATTTCACATTTTTATGCCTCTCTTGGGGGACATGCTCGTCTTAACCCTTATACACAGTACAAGTGTCACCTGCATCGCAAGGTTAAACTGTGCCTGTCTCATAAATAAACGCCTGACGTCAGAGACGCGTCACTCTGAGCAACGGCATGCAGTACGGTACACACACACACACACGACACGTACAGGTGACCGCCCTAAATCACACACACGGTCCTGTTGATATGGGACAAAGCTGAAATTAATTAGACGAAAAACTAGAAATGTTGCCTTGGAACTAAACGAAGAACTAATTTAGCATAAACACTATAGTTACACTAAAGTAAAAAAAAAATATATAATATTTGCATTTAAAATAATAATAATCAAGACAAAATTACTAAAAATCAGCCTGAAATTAAAATAAAGAAATGCTCATTCAAAATATTGATAAAGACAATAACAGTATAACAGTCTGACCTGCAGTTTGACATTTGACCTGCATATTTTTATTGAACACCATCCATTTGCAAACTCAAGTAGGGACAATAATATGCATATAAACAAATATACACAAATGGACATGTAATTTAATATAATTTGTATCTATAATTTCGTGTATTTATGCTTAAACAGGTTCTTGTGCTTTCACTACAATGCTTAGCCTCGAGCGAAACCTAGTGGAAATACAAATCCAGTGCACAGAGGTGTCGACATCTGTAGTGAAACAACCGGCATAGACTGTAAAAAATAAAATAATAATAAAGATAATGAAAATAAACGTCTTTTTTTTAATTTTTTATAATAACCTAAAGTCTTTAAACAAACTGTAGTTCTCTCGTTACTCCAGTGCGGCAGGAGGCGCTACACACAGGCTCTCAGCGGCGCCACCCGGTTCCTCAAAATCTCTCCCATCCCATCCGCAATTTGATGATGTTTGAGCTTCTTTGAGCTTCTAAAACCGATGACAGTTTTTTATTAAACCAACAAATGCCCCAGGAGTGAGCGGACTTCTGTAGATCAACGATAAAGCGGTCGAGGAAGGCGCGAACATGTCGGCCAGCGCTGTTTATGTGTTAGATCTGAAGGGGAAGGTAAGATAACGGTTCACTAGCACTGAAGGCTAAAGCTAATCAACATCAGACATGAACGTGAGGGGGTTTAAATAGAATTATTCTCAATTAAAACCAATAAACTTGTTCCCCTGATCTGAAACGTTCGAAGGGTTTTAACAGTCGATCCTTATGTATTAGTTAATGAAACTGAGATTAAAGTAATTACAATTAAATCCCCCCTTCAAACAGCTGCTTATAAACTGATAATTTTTTTTTACATTTTGACTCAGTCAAAAGTCAATTATTCTCAGTCACTAATTAATAAAGAGCAATTATTTGTCTCCATCCTTATGCTTTAGTTTGTTTATTAAGATATAATTTATCTGTCACTTTTGAAAAGCCTTATGAGTTGATATTTGCTTAAAATATGCGTTTCGTACTTGCTAAATACAATGTTGTGCTTTTACAATGATTTTTGCCATGGTAATTGCAAAGTACATTAAATTATAATATAGTATTACCCAAATGCTATAGTATACTATGCTACAATGTTCATGTAATCTAATGGTACATGTGCAAAAAAACAACCACAACTTAACTGTTTAACCTTTGCACTTTTTTAGTTTCTGTATCTCTTTACATGAACAGTATTAGTGGATTAAATATGATGTGAATATAGAATACAAATCAAATGGCATGTGATAATGATATGCTAATTGATAATTAAACGTATTTTATTTTTCAGCTGACGCAGAGATGTAATTGTGATCTGTGTGTGTGTTCAGGTCCTGATCTGCCGTAATTACCGCGGGGATGTGGACATGTCTGAGATTGAGCACTTTATGAGCCTGCTGATGGATAAAGAAGAGGAGGGCACGCTCTCACCCATCTTGGCTCACGGTGGAGTTCGTTTCATGTGGATTAAACACAACAACCTGTACCGTATCCTTCCACACCGCAAACATGCAAACTGGACAGCAGCTCATCACATGATGTAATAGTACGGAAGAGGATTAGGGCCAAGCAATAATAAAAAAAAATAAAACCATCTCAATATTAAAGTCATGATTATGTGAAATTAAACGAAAGTCGAAATACAATCTTGAAAATAAACTCATTAAATATCGAGAATAAAGTCATCGTGTTTATTCTTACAATTATTTCAACTTTTTTCTCTAAATGTAGCAAGTGCTTTTCCTCGAAACAACGACTTTATTCTCAAAATGTAATGAGTTTATTCTCAAGACTGTATTTCAACTTTTTTTCCTCGAAATTTAACGTTTTTTTTCTCTAAACAAACGACTTTATTCTCGAAATGTAATGAGTTTATTCTCAAGATTGTATTCGACTTTTTTCTCGAAATGTGACTATTTTTTTCTCATAGTAACGACTTTATTCTCGATATTTAATGAGTTTATTCTCTAGAGTGTATATCAACTTTTTCTCAAAATTTAACGAATTTTTCTCGAAACAGACGACTTTATTCTTGATATTTAATGACTTGATTCTCAAGATTGTATTTCGACTTTTTTCTCTAAATTTAACGAGTTTTTTTCTTGAAACAAACAACTTTATTCTCGATACTTAATGAGTTTATTCTCAAGATTGTATATCGACTTTTTTCTCTAAATTTAACGAGTTTTTTCTCGAAACAAACAACTTTATTCCCGTTATTTAATGAGTTTATTCTCAAGATTGTATATCGACTTTTTCTCAAAATGTAACGAATTTTTTCTCGAAACACAACGACTTTATTCTCGATATTTAATGACTCGATTCTCAAGATTGTATATCGACTTTTTTCTCTAAATTTAACGAGTTTTTTCTCGAAACAAACAACTTTATTCTCGTTATTTAATGAGTTGATTCTCAAGATTATATTTTGACTTTTTTTCTTTAAATTTAACTAGTTTAATTTCTCATTATAATGACTTTAATCTCGTCATGGTTTTATTTATTTTTTATTATTGCTTGGCTCAATATTTACCATAAAGTGATTATGATTTTTGCATTAATTAAGCTACCCTATTAATTACCCTGTAGTTATGACACGGATAGTTCCAGCTTTTAGATCTGGATCACCGGATGAGCCACAATGTACAAATTACAAAAAAAAAAAACTGTTATAAGAATAATTAATAATTTTATTGTTTAATTATCTATTTTAGTCATGTTTTGTCTCTTAACCTGCTGACACACAGTTGTTGCAACATCCAAAAAGAATGCTTGCGTCTCCCTGGTTTTCTCCTTCCTCTACAAAATTGTTCAGGTACGTTACATGTGAATTGTACATTTCTTTTTTGGCATAAAGTGATTTCTCACAGTATTGGATAATTTCTGGGTTGGACCATAATTATTAGGGCCAATAGAGTGGCATTAACACTAGGGGGCGCTAATACCTCTGTTAATTAGCCGACACTGTCTGATAATATTCTCAAAATCAGCTTCATTTGTATATTGTTTTATCATTGCATACTACATTTCATGATCACTTACTTTATTCTCACTTGTGTTTGATGCGTTAGGTTTTCTCCGAGTACTTTAAGGAGCTGGAGGAGGAGAGTATCAGAGATAACTTTGTCATTATCTACGAGCTGCTGGATGAACTCATGGACTTTGGATACCCTCAAACTACAGACAGCAAGATCCTTCAGGAGTGAGTTCGGTTTTGATTTCCGTTTATGAAGCATTAAAGGAGTAGTTCACTTTTGAAAACTTTTGCTGATAATTTACTCACCCCCATGTCATCTAAGATGTCCATGTCTTTCTTTCTTCAGTCGAAAAGAAATTAAGGTTTTTGATGAAAACATTCCAGGATTTTCTCCATATAATGGACTTCAATGGGGTCCAAACGGTTCAAGATCCAATAGACAGTTTCAATGCAAACTGCAAACTGTTCAAAGGGCTTTAAACGATTCCAGACGATGAATAAGGGTCTTATCAAGCGAAACGATCGCTCATTTAATAAATAAAAAACAAAGTTTAAGTTTTATAAACTCAAATGCTTGCCTTGCTCTGTTCTGTGATGTGCGTTTGTGACTTTCCTGTTCAAACTCCTTCATCAAAATGAACAAATATTTTTCCGAGTCATTTGGTTGATTCAACGAACGAAACGAACAAATTGACTCGGAAAAAGATGAAAAAGATTGACTCGGACTCATTTTGATGAACGAGTTCGAACAGGAGAGTCACAAACGCGCATCACAGTACAGTGCAAGGTGAGCATTTGGGTTTATAAATTGTAAACTTTGTTTTTTTTTTTTTTTAAATGAGTGATCGTTTCGCTTGATAAGAGCCTTATTCATCGTCTGGAATCGTTTAAAGCCCTTTGAACAGTTTGCAGTTTGCACTGAAACTGTCTTTTGGACCTTGAACTGTTTGGTCCCCATTGATGTCCATTATATGGAGAAAATCCTGGAATGTTTTCATCAAAAACCTTAATTTCTTTTCGACTGAAGAAAGAAAGACATGGACATCTTGGATGACATGGGGGTGAGTGAATTATCAGCAAAAGTTTTTTGAAAAGTGAACTACTCCTTTAAAGTAATAGCAACTCAAAACTAACAGTTCTGTCACCATATACTCACCCTCAAGCCATATGACTGACATTCAATGGAAAGTCTTTTTTTTTTTTTTTTAATTTAACAGTCAGACATACATACAAACCAACATAGTGCAGTAGTGAGCAATCTTGTAAATCCATAATTCCAGCAGTGACATAAAAGTGTTTTAAGTGTCTGATCTAAGTGTGTATGTGAGTGTGGGTGTGTGTATGCATAAACAAAGTAACCATTTATTATTTATTACCATTGTCATTACCATCACCATCCCACTCCCCACTACCACCATACTGCCAATTATGTGTTGGTTGGTAGATTTTTATTTCCATCGTTCCTCCTATTAGGGTTGCCGCGGTGAGGAAAATTTCCCACCGGTTAATCGACGAGTGACAACACCGGTAATCCCGGTGTCACCGTGGAGGGCAGGGCGGGGGGGTTAAATAGCTTTTAAATGCGTGCGCGTTATACTTTCACTTTCGAAATAAGCGTCAATTGCTTGAATGGACAAAAAAAAAAAAAACTCGCTGATAATAAAACTTTTATTTATAGACTTTTATTAGCATAACGAACGAATAAAAATAACCCCATGCATAGGCTGAAAAAAGTGAAAATCGGCAAACTGTGGGCCCAAACAAATAAGAACCATAAAACGTTTATTAACGAATAAGAAAATAAAATAGGCCTAAATAAATTACACAAAGTTTAAATGAGATAAAACCAATTAAAAAGAGACGAATATAAAATAAAAACTTCAAAACGGACCTTAGCCTTCATAAATGACATACTTTCACTTTCGAAATAAGCGTCAATTGCAATTCAGCGTCAATTGCTGGAATGGACAAAAAAAAAAAAAAAAACAACTCGCTGACAATAAACTTTTATTTAGACAGCCCTTTATTAGAATAATAAACGAATAAAATATAGACAGAACTTTTATTAGCATAACGAACGAATAAAAATAGCCCCATGCATAGGCTGAAAAAAGTGAAAATCGGCAAAATGTGGGCCCAAACAAATAAGAACCATAAAACGTTTATTAACGAATAAGAAAATAAAATAGGCCTAAATAAATTACACAAAGTTTAAATGAGATAAAACCAATTAAAAAGAGACGAATATAAAATAAAAACTTCAAAACGGACCTTAGCCTACATAAATGACATACTTTCACTTTCGAAATAAGCGTCAATTGCAATTCAGCGTCAATTGCTGGAATGACAAAAAAAAAACAAAAAAAAAACAACTCGCTGACAATAAACTTTTATTTAGACAGCACTTTTATTAGAATAATAACGAATAAAATATAGACAGAACTTTTATTAGCATAAACGAACGAATAAAAATTAACCCCATGCATAGGCTGAAAAAGTGAAAATCGGCAAACTGTGGGCCAAAAAAAAATAAAACGTTTATTAACGAATAAGAAAACAAAATAGGCCTAAATAAATTAAACAAAGTTTAAATAAGATAAAACCAAATAAAAAGAGACGAATATAAAATAAAAACTTCAAAAAGGACCTTAGCCTACATAAATGACAGCACTCTAAAAAAAAGTAAAACACTATAAATTGGCATTTATTAACATTAATATATATTGGCCAAAATATTGCCAAACAGGCACTTTTTGCATTGCGTTTTGACACCAAATCTTCCGCCATTATCTTGCTTTTCTGTAATTTGACTCGTTCTCGTCTCCACACGTGCTAAATGGAATCCTGATGCTTGCTGATCTGTGACGTGACGGCACGCGTTGCGCAGTTCATTTTTAATTATAATGCTCTCTTCAGAACTAAATAATTGAAAATTATTATTTTTAATTAATTCAAATAAATATTTTAGCAAAAACGAATACTTTAAAAAAAAAAGTCAAGACATCGCGGTGTCACGGTGGGAAAGTGATGTCACCGGTGATGGGGCTTAAAACCGGTAACACCGTCAACACCGTCTATCGCGGCAAGCCTACCTCCTATGTAACTGAAATTGTTCCAGGTCTTTCTCTGATCCAGCAGATATCACCCAGTCTCATATTTTTTGCTGAAATGTCCAGCCGTGTGTTCATTTTCCCCATGTCACTGTGTGTGTGTGTTTGTCGATACACAGATACATCACTCAGGAAGGTCACAAGTTGGACACAGGAGCTCCACGACCCCCTGCGACTGTAACCAACGCCGTCTCCTGGAGGTCCGAGGGCATCAAGTACAGGAAGAACGAGGTTTTCCTGGACGTCATCGAGTCTGTCAACCTCCTGGTATGTTTTTAGAAACACCTCCTTTCTAAGATGTCTCCAGACACGCTCAAAATAAACACAGGAATCCATCATAACAAACAGGACGCAGTTACCTCTATGTCACTGTGCTTCAGTTGTGTAAATGATGAACCTGCTGTTTTTATAAAGGGTTGAACACCTTTTAGCTGGATCACAATAGCATGTTTAAAGCGGTACAGGTCAAGAACTCAAGGAATGAGATAAACCGTGTTAACCGATTAATCCAATGTTGTGCAGTTATGAAAGCAAGATAATCCAGAGAGTGTTTTTTTGTACCGCATTTCTTTTTGCAGTGATTCTCTTGTTGTATCAAGCGTTTAGTAGTTTATTGATTCATTTATTTTGATTAAGGCGGTATTAATGATTAATTGCATCCAAAATAAAAGTTTGTTTACATAATGTGTGTACTGTATAATTATTTTGTTTATATAAATACACACACATGCATGTATACTATATATTTAAGAAATATTTGCATGTATATATATATTTATATAAATATTTTATTTCTAATAACTAACTAATAATTTTTCTTAAATATGTACATGCATATATATATATACGAAAAAATTATATACATATTATGTAAACACAAACTTTCATTGTGGATGCGATTAATCGTTGCACACAAATTTTTAGGGATGCACCGAAATGAAAATTCTTGGCCGAAACCGAAAACCGAAAAAGAGGAAACCAAGGCCGAAAACCGATAACCGAAACACCGAAAGAATTATTAGTATCATTGCATTTATGCCATGGCTATGACTGTGTACAAACTTTACTAAAAACAAGGCATTGCAATTGCATATTAATATGACATTTTCAAAGAATAAATCAATTACAAATTATGCAAATATTTATTTAGCACAATGCACAGTATAAAATAAAATTCTAACTAAAATGTTTAACTTTACCCCACTAATGTGTACACTAAATAATAATCTACTGGCCTGCAGAAAGGTTTTAAAATGAAACGTTCTCTCAAAAACAAAGCCGAGCGACCGCAAACTTCTCATCAAACCAGGACCCAGTTTGCATGTCTAAATTAGTTACATTTTAAAAATTTGGCATACAATAGCATGTTTAATACAAATGTACATGAAACTTAATGAAACATGTTTAGTGAATGTATTTAAATATTTAAGAGAGCATTAATTTAGTTCTATACATACATAGTTCCCAATCCCATATACATATTTTTTGTAATGTCACAAGTAATAATCTCAGGGTTTACTGGATTTTACATGATTATTTTTGTATTGGTGGTGGAATAGCCTACTAAAAAATAAGCACTGTCATGTGTTTATCTTTCTTCTTCTCACCGATTCCTGATGGTTAGAGGACAGTTACTTGAGTCGTCCCCTGTCGTTTCAAGGAATAGTAAAACGGAGAGCGGGTTTGGAGCGGTGCGCGCGCTGTCTGTGGAGACTCGCGCTGCCTTGTTTACTTTCGCCTGCCTCCGCAGCGCGAGTCTCCTCCACAGACAGCGCGCGCACCGCTCTTGACCCGCTCGCAACCGGAATCGTCGTCATGGCGGCGCGCGTTGTTTAGAGCAGATATAGGTGGATAAACAAGGTTTCCGTCTCATCGCGGGTTCAGATACACTGAAATGCGTCCGCACCGCAGACATGTTGCTTCAGACAAGCACGTGCAGGTCGCGGTTTCTGTTTGCGTCATCACAACATTTCGGCCGTATTGTTTCGGTGATAAAAGTCTTTCGGCCGAAAACCGAAAATGCCCTTTTGGGCCATTTTCGGCCGAAAATTTTCGGCGGCCGAATATTCGGTGCATCCCTACAAATTTTGAAACATAATTTTTTTATTATATGTAAATATGTTTGCAATATGTTTGATTTTTCTCCATATAATGGACTTCAATGGGGTCCAAACGGTTCAAGGTCCAAAAGACAGTTTTAGTACAAACTGCAGACTGTTCAAAGGGCTTTAAACGACACCAGACGATGAATAAGGGTCTCATCAAGTGAAAAGATCTCTCATTTAATAAATAAATAACAAAGTTTAAGTTTTATAAGCTCAAATGCTCGCCTTGCTCTGTTCTGTGACGCACGTTTGTGACTCTCCTGTTTGAACTCGTTCATCAAAATGAACGAATCTTTTTTTTGCCGAGTCATTTGGTTCATTCAATGAACGAAACAAACGAATTGACTCGGAAAAAGATTCGTTCATTTTGATGAACGAGTTCAGCAAACGTTTTTTTGAAAAGTGAACTACTCCTTCAAGTGTTTGACACAGCTGACTCATGGGTGCTGATCTTTCTCCAGGTCAGTGCGAATGGTAACGTCCTTCGCAGTGAGATCGTTGGCTCCATTAAGATGAGAGTGTTCCTCTCGGGAATGCCAGAGCTGCGTTTGGGTCTGAATGACAAGGTTCTGTTCGAGAACACTGGCCGTGAGTCCATTTCCCTATACAGATAATAGCCAATTAGATCAGTAGGGATGCACCGATATGAAAAATTTTGTCCGATAACCGATGATTCTTTATATCTGAGAGCCGATAACCAATATATTGGCTGATAAATCTAAATCCAAATTTGTATATAATTTTTGAGAACCTGATTACAAAAACAAAAGTCCTTAGCATACAATTATAATGTTCTCATTATTAATATTATTAGGGCTGTGCAAAGATTAATTGCGATTAATCGCATCCAAAATAAAAGTTTGTGTTTACATAATATATTTGTGTGTGCTGTGTGTAATTATTTTCTATTCATAAATACTCACACATGCATGTATATATTTAAGAAAATGTGTTAATCTATATTATATATAAATTAGGGCTGTCAAATGATTAATCGCGATTAATCGCATCCAAAATAAAAGTTTGTTTACATATATATATATATAAATACACACGCATGCATGTATATTTAAGAAAAAATATTAATTATATATAAAAGATTTATATTTATATATAATATATATTATATATAAATCTTATATACACATGAAAATATTTCTCAAATATATACAAGGCATGTGTGTGTATTTTTTATATATAAAATAATTATACACAGTGCACCCACATATATTATGTAAACACAAACTTTTATTTTGGATGCGATTAATCGCGATTAATCGTTTGACAGCCCTAATATAAATATAAATATTTTATATACAAATATGTATTTATATATATTCAGTATTTACGTGCAAATAAATCTTAAATATATACATGCATGTGTGTGTATTTATATATACAAAATAATTATACACAGCACACACACATATATTATGTAAACACAAACTTTTATTTTGGATGCGATTAATCGCAATTAGACTTTGCACAGCCCTAAATATTATGTAGCCAGTATGACAGCTTTCCTTAAATGTGTTTTCCTTTTTTTAAGTAAATGCAATCATATTTTAAGCAATTCAAAAGCATCTTGTTTTGAAGTGTCCCATTATTATCACTTTCAGCTTTAATATATCGGACAAATTTTCTTTTTGGACCGATAACTATAACATTATAAATGAACATCGGCCGATACCAATATGGTGCATCTCTAGAAATCAGTATTTTGTGGCTTAAATGCTAGTGTAATCCACATCATATCTATATTATTCAGCTGTATTTGCTTAGAATTTATAAATGTAGGTGTATATATATATATATAAGGTTTTACATTTATAAAGTACTAAAAAGCCTAACACCAAGCTTCAGAAACTGGGCTTTACTGTGTATTTTACAGCTGAGGTGTGTGTTTTAGTCGTTTGTTCGCTCTTCTTTAGGTGGTAAGAGTAAATCAGTGGAGTTGGAGGATGTGAAGTTTCATCAGTGTGTGCGTTTGTCTCGATTTGAGAACGATCGCACCATCTCGTTCATTCCTCCGGACGGAGAGTTTGAGCTGATGTCCTACCGCCTCAACACGCATGTGAGTGTCTTAAGTCATTCAAACTTATTAAATTCAGTCTCCATTTTGGGCTATTTTGGTTCTATATAGTGTGTTGTTTCATATTAGTGCAACAAAAACATCCAAAACTAACGTTTAAGTGTATATTTTATTGCACTTTATCTATTTGCGTCTGTAGATTTCAGTTACAATGCATTTCTTTAAAGGACATTGTTTTCCAAACGAGTCAGCAGCTTTACATAAACCAAACTTTACATTTTTAAGTTTACAGTTATATATTGCTGATAGTTTAACACTTTATTCCTAAAAAAAAAAGGTGATTTTTTTTTCTTTTCCCCCCCGATAGCATTTTCGTATTTGTGAAGTGATAAAATCCCCTCTGTAAAAACTGTTATATATAAAATGTACAAAAATGAAACAAATTTTTAATCTGGCTTTTTCCAATGTTCAAATCTATGCAAGTTAGTGTGTATTTAAATAGATTAAGCAGCATTTGATTATTTAAATATGTTTTTGCAATTCATCAATCAACTGGGGAAGTATGATATCTATAAGTTAATGTTCACATTTATTTTAGTGCTGTCAATCGATAAACAAGAAAATATAACTAATTCATTGCAGATTTTTTTCAAGTATTTTTTTTTTCCTGTGTGAACAGGTGAAGTTTTTGCAGACACGTTTTGTTCATATATTGTTTGTTGGTTCATATATCTACACTTTATTCCTAAAACAAAAAGGTTATAAAATCCCCTCTGTAAAAACTGTTAAATATAAAATGTACTACAAAATGAAACAAATTTTAAATCTGGCTTTTTTCATGCAAATTAGTGCATATTTAAATAGATAAAGCAGCATTTGCATATTGAAAAACATATTTGATGATATCTATTAGTTAATGTTGAAATTCATATTTATTTTAGTGCTGTCAATCGATAAACAATAAAAATAACTAATTAATTGCAGATTTTTTTTAAATATTTTTTTTTCCTGTGTGAACAGGTGAAGCCGCTGAAACCAAACTTTGCATTTTTAAATTTAGAGTTATATATTCTGACAGTTTTTGCAGACACGTTTTGTTCATATATTGTTTGTTGGTTCATATATCTACACTTTATTCCTAAAACCAAAAGGTAATTAAATCCTCTCTGTTAAATATAAAATGTACAAAATGAAACACATTTTGAATCTGGCTTTTTTCAATGTTCAAATCCATGCAAATTAGTGCATATTTAAATAGATAAAGCAGCATTTGCATATTTAAACATATTTGATGATATCTATTAGTTAATGTTGAAATTCATATTTATTTTAGTGCTGTCAATCGATAAACAATAAAAAATAACTAATTAATTGCAGATTTTTTTTTAAGTATTTCTTTCCTGTGTGAACAGGTGAAGCCGCTGAAACCAAACTTTGCATTTTTAAATTTAGAGTTATATATTCTGACAGTTTTTGCAGACACGTTTTGTTCATATATTGTTTGTTGGTTCATATATCTACACTTTATTCCTAAAACCAAAAGGTAATTAAATCCTCTCTGTTAAATATAAAATGTACAAAATTAAACACATTTTGAATCTGGCTTTTTTCAATGTTCAAATCCATGCAAATTAGTGCATATTTAAATAGATAAAGCAGCATTTGCATATTTAAACATATTTGATGATATCTATTAGTTATTTATTTTAGTGCTGTCAATCGATAAACAATAAAAAATAACTAATTAATTGCAGATTTTTTTTTAAGTATTTCTTTCCTGTGTGAACAGGTGAAGCCGCTGAAACCAAACTTTGCATTTTTAAATTTAGAGTTATATATTCTGACAGTTTTTGCAGACACGTTTTGTTCATATATTGTTTGTTGGTTCATATATCTACACTTTATTCCTAAAACCAAAAGGTAATTAAATCCTCTCTGTTAAATATAAAATGTACAAAATTAAACACATTTTGAATCTGGCTTTTTTCAATGTTCAAATCCATGCAAATTAGTGCATATTTAAATAGATAAAGCAGCATTTGCATATTTAAACATATTTGATGATATCTATTAGTTATTTATTTTAGTGCTGTCAATCGATAAACAATAAAAATGAACTAATTAATTGCAGATTTTTTTTTAAACATTTTTTTTTTCCCTGTGTGAGCAGGTGAAGCCGCTGATCTGGATCGAGTCTGTGATTGAGAAGCATTCGCACAGCAGAATCGAGTACATGATCAAAGTGAGAACACATCCATCTATGTGAACCTGGCTTGCTTTAATGCCGACACACAGCATCCGAACTGACCCTCATGTTTCGTCTCTTTTACTGTAAGGCCAAATCTCAGTTTAAACGACGATCCACTGCCAACAATGTGGAGATCCATATTCCCGTCCCGACCGACGCAGACTCGCCCAAGTTTAAGACCACAGTGGGCAGCGTGAAGTGGGTCCCGGAGAACAGCGAGATTGTTTGGTCCATCAAGTCTTTCCCTGTAAGAAAATGCATGCAGTCTGTTTTGCTATTATACTTTAAAGGGGCGGTTCAGGATTTTGGACGTCGGGCCTCATTTCCAAGTGAGCCTGTGTGTTATTTATCAGTGGAGACAGTTTTCAAAAAAATGAATTCAGTCATTCCAGTTGCATAGTTCGCCGGTGCTAGGCTAGCGCGAGTAAATGGTTACTGCTAGCCTGCCATTAAAAACAGTTTTACCCACTCCTGAATACAGCCCGACCGATACCGATACAAATATTTTTGGGTTTTAAAATCCGATATTCCAATATATCGACCGATATTTTATTTATTTTCATTTTTTTCAGAAACGCGCAACAAAACATTTAACAGATTTCTCTAACATAGTTATTTGTAGTTATTTATGACTATTTTAACTAAAAAATATGATAAAGCATTTCAAAAAGAAACTTAAACAGGAACATCAAAATATATTTAAGTTCTGATAAATAAAATAATAATTAGTCCCTACATTGCCTTATAAGCTACCTTATAATTACAATGTCAGCTTGCTTATCCCTTTACCTGCACTTTTGAAATTCTTTCCATCAAACCATTTTCAATCATCGGTTACGTTTGGTACTTTTTCTCTACGTCTAAATGTTCACTCCTCGCAAGTATAACTTACATTTTACAATGCAGGGACTGTAACTAGAGATATGCTAGTTATAAATACAGTAATCATTCCTTTAATTAGGCAGAAAAAGTTCAAAAGCTCATTAATGTTAACGTTAGCGGTCTTCCACTGATGATAGTGGCATTAGCTAGCTTTGTGGTTAGCTTGTCTATGATGAGCCATAATTTAGCAATAGATGACATCATACTGCAAATTGTAAAACATGCATTTTCAATATAACAGTACGTTTAGTCCGTTTTTATTTTATTTTTGAAATATTAATTTATCGGCCATTATAACTGCCGATACCGATATTTTAGAAAATGCCTAATATCGGCCGATATATCGGTCTGGCTCTACTCCTGAAACACCAAGTCCAAAATCCTGAACCACCCCTTGCTTTAACAACAACTACTAGCTGAGGAGTGAAAGTAATATTAGCACTGCAGAAACTCATGTGTGTGTGTGTGTGTGTCAGGGAGGTAAGGAGTACCTGATGAGGGCTCATTTCGGGCTTCCCAGCGTGGAGGCGGAGGACAAAGAGGGAAAACCACCGATCAGTGTGAAGTTTGAGATTCCCTATTTCACCACTTCTGGAATACAGGTAATCAACCATCACGTTAGCCACACTTCCGTCACATTTAACTCATGCACAAAATTGCACAAGACATCTGGATATGTAAAGCATCGTTTCCATCCCATGTGTTCAAGAGAACAAAATCATTACTGGGAAATCGGTGCAAAATATCAAATAAAAATGGATGTTGCTGCAGTTTCGGAAGAAAGAAAGAAAGCCTACATTTCAAGTAGGGGTGTGCGATATGACTATTTTTAACCGTGGACGATTAAAATGTCTCCACGATCTGCTTTTGAAGAAATATCGTAGTATCGTGTTACAGTGCATTCTATCAGTTCAGTTCTGGCGCCGTCTCAACTGTACAACGCGACGTAGCCTACACATCACACGTTAATGAATAGGTACGGGACACTGCAATTCACAAAAGTTCATTATTTGCATAAGCCTTGCCGGTTAAACATTTAATTCACGCGCTGTTCTAACGTGCGCTTTCCTGACCGCATACCCCCGACGCTCACAGGCACTAGAAGTCTGTCAAACAGCGCCTGAATACTGGACTAAGTTATCTTTTGAGTCTTATTATGCTAATACTGTTAAATACACACAATGCTTACATAAACAGGCTATGTCTAAAGTGAAAGCAAATATTTGAGAGAATATCTGGTGTAATATGCGTCTATATTAAACGCGTTGCGTGCTGGTCTATAAACGACAGGAGTAAATAGTACTGCCGCTTGTCCTTAAAGGGATAGTTCACCAAAAAAAAAAAGCTGTCATTATTTACTCACTCTAATGTTGTTCCAAACCTGTATTAATTTCTTTCTTGTGCTGAACACAAAAGATGATTTTTTTTTTTAATGTGGGTAACCAAACTGTTGCTGGTCCCCATTAACTTCCAGGAGAGAACCTATAAAAAACAGGGGGACCAGCAACTGTTCAGTTACCCACATTATTCAAAATAACTTTTATTTTCAACAGAAGAAAGAAACTTATTCGGGTTTAAAACGTCTTGAGAGAGTAAATTAAGACCATTTTCATTTTTGAGGGAACTATCCCTTTAGTGTTAATAAAACAAAAAACACAAGGAGAAAATCACTCACTGACTGAGAACTTTAATAGTAGCTTTAATAAGAATAAATTTATTCAGTGAAGTAGTGTTTTAATTTTTATATTTGTTAATTTAATTACTTTCTTCAATGCTACTGCTAAATACACCTACTGCATCTGAAAAAATAAAGCACTATTTATTTAATTTGAATATTAATTTGTGTAATGTTTATCTTGTCTTATTTTTTTAATAACAAAGAAAATAATGACAAAGATTGTTATCTTCGCCACTGGCCTAAATGTATGCCTTTCTTTTTTTACTTTTGTTACCTAAGGCTTTGTTTTTAGCATAGGGACATTAGTTTGCCTGTAATGAACAGCCACTTGCAAAATATTAAAACCAACTTGAAAAAGAATCGTGATATAAAATCGTGATCTTCCTAAAAAAAATTTTTGATAATAATAATAATAATAATAATACATTTTATTTGTAATACACCTTACATTTAGAGCAAATCTTAAAGTGCTACAGTTTAAGATATGATATTTTTCCCATATCGCCCACCCCTAATTTCAAGGCTTCGGTCACTTTTGACTGCGACAGAGCCAAGTGTGATCCCTTCTTTGAATTTGAGGGTATTTGACCTGGAAAGTCCTTGTATTTCAGGTTAACCAATTGGTGTGGGAGCCCTAATGAACCTTATTGTAAAGTGTTACCGATAGTGTAAGTTCAAAAAGCATCACTTTTAGTTGTTGCGTCCAAACGTAATGCTGACGCATTTGTAATGCATTACATTTTTAACAAAAATACTTCATGATTAAATGTGTTTCTGATGAATATGTCAGTTTCCAGATTTGTCATCATCATGATACGCTTCATGTTTTTGACATAAGGTGGCGCTGCTGACTGTTTAGTCAGTGGATGAATTGGTATTTTCCCAGATTCTGAACACCTGTTGCTCAGGCTGTGGCTGCTTTTTCCTTTCACACTGATAGATGGCGCTATGAATCTGTATTTTGAAGGATTTATTCACTTGAAATATTTTTTTGATGCATTAATACAGGTTTGATAACCAAAATCACACACCCTCTTGTTGAGAATGCATTCTGCTTCATTACTGTTCTAAGAGTAAGTTCATTTCACAAAATAGCATGTTGTTGATTTTTTATCAAGAGTTGAGCAATGTCGTCTTGATGAAATGCTCTTTAGGAAACCTTGGTATTGTCTGTGTACTTTCTCCACGTCTTGGCAAATCTGTGGTGGAATGAGTTTAAATGCGGCAAACCAAGTAAAAACTGAAATTCTGTTCAGTTACTTACTCGTGTTCACTTTTGAAAGACAATTTTTATAGATTTTTGTCTATTCACCTAAAACTCTGATGCTTAATAAAGTACGTAAAGAGATCGGCAAAGAAATCTTAGCTTAATCATAATCTTTTTATGATTAACAGATTTAATTAAGGCTTTTATTCACAAATAAAGATTGATCAAGGGCATGTTCAAACATGCTTGCTTTGACTTTCAATGGTGAGATCATTAAAAATATCTTCATTTTGTGTTTTGAATATGACTGAAAGTCGTATGATTTTGTACCGATTTTCTATTTTTGGTGAACAAAAACTCTTTAGGGGATCTATACTCTGTCACGCTAATGTTTTTGAGAGTGTTAATGAGGATTAGATGCTTTTATCTTAAATATGGCGTCTGACACACCAGTGTTGTTAACTAAAAGTATTAAAAAAACATTTTTTGTTCATTAAAATAAAACTGAAATACAAATATTAGATGAAAAGTGTTGCCTTCTTCTGTGTCTCACTGAAATAAAATACATTTTATGTTACTAAAGTTACTTTTAATAAAAAAGAAAGGTAAATGAATACAAAAATTAATAAGAAAACGCATTTAACAAATGTATAAACTAATTCAAAAGTATTAAATACATAAATAATACACTAAAATATCACTATATTGTACTCCAGTTATAGTGGTCAATGACAGGAGAATATTTTATAAATATTTTCTGCTTTAAAAATCCTAAAATCCATAATTGTTCACCCAAAAGTGAGATTGTCATGTTTTTTTTATAAACCTGTATTATTGTTATTATTTTAAACCTGTATGATTTTTTCATAAAAATGTGTTTTTGTCCATACAGTGAAAGCCAATGGGGTCCAATGTAGTTTTTGTTTCATTGTATGGACAAAAGCAGAAACATTCTTCAAAATATCTTCTTTTGTGTGCACAGAACAACATGTGGGTGTAGAAATGATGTCAGATCTGTGTGTAAAGTAGAGGCCGACCGATCCATATATTTTTGGGTTTTAAAATCCGATATATCGGCCGATATTTATTTATTTTTTGTTATTAAATATTGTTGGATTTCAAACACGTGTAAAAGAAAAGCTAACTTTTCTGCACAAGATACGTTTGATACTTTTTCTCCGTCTAAATGTTCACTCCTCGCAAGTATAACTTACATTTTACAATGCAGGGACTGTAACTAGAGATATGCTAGTTATAAATACAGTAATCATTACTTTAATTAGGCAGAAAAAGTTCATTTCCAAGCTCATTAATGTTAACGTTAGCGGTCTTCCACTGATGATAGTGGCATTAGCTAGCTTTGTGGTTAGCTTGTCTATGATGAGCCATAATTTAGCAATAGATGACATCATACTGCAAATTGTAAAACATACATTTTCAATACAACAGGCCAAGGAGAGATGATTGAAGCGTGTTTCATCCGTTTTTATTTTATTTTTTAAATATTCATTTATCGGCCATTATAACTGCCAATACCGATATTATGGGAAAATGCCTAATATCGGCCGATATATCGGTCTGGCTCTAGTGTAAAGTATCCCTTAAAACAGTTCAGAGAATCATATACACGATTGTGTTTTTGATCGTGTTTCATTAGAATAAACCGTTTAAGTTGCTCGCTGTTGGAGCACCAAAGCTGTGTGTGTGTGTTGTGGCTGTGACAGTGTCCTGATCCAGACAGTCGGTCAAAGCCAGGACAGACAGAACAGAACCGCAGCTCCTGCTGAATCTCGTGCTTTAGCAGACGGTGTGTTTATTTGTTACGGTCAGTCGTGTGTTTCTCAGGCCTCAGCAGTTTTTCAAGGCGGGCGACTGGATTGGAGGACAGTTGAGCCGTACGAGTGTGTGTGACGTCTTTCTCCTGCAAACAATATGATGCTTGTTGATCTGAAGATGTTTGACTTTGAACTTAAGTTGTGGATTGAGCTGGATTCAAAATCATGTTTTTAAAGGCATACTCCACTTTTTTTGGAAATAGGCTCATTTTACAACTCCCCCAGAGTTAAACAGTTGGGTTTTACCGTTGTCGAATCCATTCAGCCGATTTGTTTTTATATTTAGAAGAATATCAGTAACCAGACAGTTTCTGGTCTCATTGACTTCCATAGTATATTTTTTTCCTACTATGGAAGTCAATGAGACCAGAAATTGTCTGGTTACTGATATTCTTCTAAATATTAGAAAATCGGCTGAATGGATTCGAAAACGGTAAAACTCGACTGTTTAACTCTGGGGGAGTTGTAAAATGAGCCTATTTCCAAAAAAAGTGAAGTATCCCTTTAAATGTGCAGAAATTAAAGATGTTTATTATGTTTATTTATAATAAAATTGGGTTAAAACAACCCAGCATAATTTAGTGTGTACTGTAACTAAGTTCACCTGTTTCACTGTCTTTGCAAATGCATGTTGTAATATTACGTTTATGCTGTTTATATTAGGGATGGCATGATCCACTTTTTTGCCTCTGATACCTGGGATTAAGTACTGATCCAATACTAAAATATTAATAAATTAAAGCTGCAAGCAGCATTTATCGGTGTTCAAGCAGTTCAGGCCTTTACGCACAAAAGCATTGAAAGGCATTCAATTTTATTTAACATGCATTTATGCACGGACATAATAGATGTAAAACACCATTTACAAACAATACATTACGC